ATCGTTCCCCGTATTACTGTCTGTCTGTTAGCAGGAGCCCCCCCAGCCAGGCCACCCGATGTCAGGCCCCTGCCACTTCGAGGTGAGACAGTTCCTGGATTGTGCCACCACCCAGAGTGACCTGACCCTGTGTGAGGGCTTCAGTGAGGCCCTCAAGCAATGCAAGTACTCCCACGGTGAGTCAGGCTTTCCTATTAAAAAATAAAATATAATATAATATTGACATGGGTTGAATAAGGGGTATATATTTCATTCATCCATGTCTCCATTCTTCTTTGGTCAGCTACTTACCCAGTACAGGGTCTTGGGGGAGGGGAGCACAGATGTGCTGATCTTGATAATGTTTCTTGTTGCAGGGGTGACCTCATTGGTCTGATGGAGCTGAGCTGAACTACTGTAGACAAGACCTTGGCCATGCAAAAAAAAACCTTTGCCAGACTGTTACCATCTGTTTTGTTTCATTTATGTGGTATCAAGGGTAAACTGCTGAATATGTAATACTGTGTATAAGACTGTAAGATGAATGTTATATCTGATGCAAATAAATGTTATTTCAGATGCAAATATAAAAATGACGTGTGAGAAGTTTCGTCCATTCTGAGGGTAGTGTCTAGTCTATGTTCATGGAAACGCATCTTGCATATGTTAAAGCTGTTTGATCTGATTAGCAAAAAACGTCTATGGTTGTGAAATTGCTAAGTTACTAAACCAACACACCTTTTAAAAGTAAGAGTAAAGTTTGGCATCTATGGCGCAATGTGTGCTACAGTCAATGCAGAATTGATCGTAAGGTGTAAAGATGTGCAATCAAACAATCACAGGTATTCCCGGTACTGACTCGTGGGCTGGTGGGGGTCATTTGGCTACACACCCAATATATATATAAAACCATGTATGTGAGACTGCAGGCAGTTGCACTCCTATGAATACAAGCCTATATAAGAAAACATATAAACGAATGAAAACATATTGGTCATATGCAATTGCAATTGAATAAACAGAGTATTAAAATTTATATAAAATCTTTGTTCTTTTTCTATAATGGGAGTTTCTCACCCGGCCAATCAAGAGGAGGGGATGGACCACTTGCTGCCTGTAAACAAAGTCCTACTTTTATGCATTTTTGAGTCCTGAACCACTGATGCGTGGTCAGTAGATCCTATAATAAGGGTCATGAATGGGGTGCAAGGAAACTGATCATAGATCAGGCTATCAGAGATGGACCTGAAGTATTCATAGTCAGGTAGAAAGGCAAAATTTTAAGTGTAGTGAATTTGCACATTCTTAACACCGTTCATTGATTTAGAAAAAACCTTACGAGTAAATTTCCGGAGGAGTTTCTGAAAAAGCTGTGCTCCACTACTGCTGCTGGAAACCCGAGGATGTAAGTAGCTGGAAACGTGCATGTAGCTGTCTTACAAGCCAGTTCATTTCATTCATAGGATATAATCGACCTTCAAAATTAAGTCGTGCTGTTGTGAAAACCGACCGAAAAACTCCCGTTGTGCTGTATTTTATAAAGTAAAATGTTTGACCTATTTAACTTTAGCTGGGTATCCAAAGAGGGCTTGCACGATTCATTGTGTTCTCCAGAGGAACATTTCATACATGATTATGAGTAACTTCTCATTTGTAAGAAAAAATGTCAGTAGCGTTTCCAAATGCTTTGAAAGTTTTTTGCGGTTTGGTTAAATCAAAATTATTATACTAGTAAACCATAAGCTGGTAACGATATGCTGGCACCATCATAAGTATGAAGGTTTTGCCGTGTGCAAAACTGGTAATGGTATGATCATCTAATATGTCAACAAACTTTGGTTCTTCACAATTTTGGGGGCAGCCAGTTGACCTTGGATCCTCACAGGTATTTTTTCTCCTTACATGACAGATTTTGGTTCCTCTCCTCCGTTGTCTTCTGGCTTTCTTTATTTAATTTCTTTCCTTCCTTTTTCCCCGTTCTGTAATTCTCTCTCTAATGAAGTTTAATGTATCACAACACATCCATGTAAAGCGCCTTGGGATGACTCTGGTGTGAAAGGCGCTATATAAAAATGAATCAAATTGAACTCTGCAGGTCCTTCAACAAGGCCGTTAACCCCCCAGCTCCCTGGGTGCTGCAACAGGTGGCAGAAATAAAGGGGGAAGAAATAAAGAGAATTTCCTCATTGGGGTTAATAAAGCATCAGTTATTATTAACTTGGCTTATGTGTTGCTTTGTATTTACTTTTATTTGACTATAGTAGCCTCACCAATCAGAATTGATGTTGTAGTGTTAGCAGTTTAACATCTCCATCCTCTGCTGGCAGGATTGCTATCAGATTCTATCCTTTGGAGGATGGCAAGTGGGACAGAAAGGAACTGTGATGACTTTCCTGTAGACAACAGACGTCACTTTGCCACCGGAAATCCATTCCAGTCTTTGCAGATCAAGTAATAAGGATGTTAAATACACTGCCCGGCCAAAAAAAAACTCGCCATTTGAATTTATATCAGCAAATACTCAAGAGCCAATGACTGGATCATTATTACAGCTCAGCAACGTTATGCAGCAATAAAGTGAAGTCAGCTGAGTACCTGAATCTACTGAATGGCCAGGTTACACCTCCATCCATCATCAATGGATTGTTTTCTTCCCTGTTGGCATGGGCATATTCCAGGACAAGAATGCCAAGATTCATTGGGTTCGAATTGTCAAAGAGTGGTTCAGGAAGCATAAGGAATTATTTTCACGCATGACTTGTTCACCACAGAGTTGTGACCTTAACCTCATTGAAGGTCTTTGGGATGTGCTGAAGGAGGCTTTATGGAGTGGTTCAACTCACTTGTCAATACAGGATCTCGGTGAGAAATGAATGCAAATGTGGATGAAAATAAAGGGTGAAATATTGCATAAGCTTTTGGAAACAATGGCATGACAAATGTGCGCCATAATCAAAGCTAAAGGTGGTCTGATGAAAATTCAAATGGGGACTTTTTTTTTTTGGCCGGGCAGTGTAGTTAGGTTGATTCCATAGGTCCCAGAGTCACAAGGCTGTAAAATATTTTGAACATAATTGTATTGGTCTGGGTTGGATGCAAAATATGATTCACTTTCCAGTGGTTCAAAATCTTTAGGAACACGCCTGCATGTCAAGCATGTTTTTCTTTTGATGACTGAGCGCATTACACTTGTTAGGGGGGAGTAGCATTGTATGACAATCTGCACTGTCAAATTCAGCAAAGAACGGTGAATGCAACGAATTTGTAATGCAGAGCCTACAGTAGGGACCGCGTGGTGGCATAGTGTTACCTCACACTTCTGTGGCCAGGGTTCAAGTCACCACCATGGCTCCTTGTGCTGTAGTGGGGTTTCCTCTGGGTACTGCAGCCCCCCCCCATGTGTAAGTGCCCTGCAATGGGTTGGTGTCCTATCCTGGGCTTTTCCATGGATTCCATGGTAGGTTGCTTTTCTTTAGAGATCGAAATCTGCATAACTTAAGCCCATGACATATTTCATGTTAAATGGTTCATTAGCTATGTTGTGATTTATAGAAGAGGATACGTCTTTTCACTAGTTTTCTAGAGCCAGAGCATCACCTTGGGGAGCTTGCAGTCTGTCCCTGGAGACACAAGGCACCAGGCAGGAGATGCCCATTCCAAGGCATACACACACAAGGGGAGACAGGAACACTGATACACCTAGACTGCATGACTCTGGCAATGGGAGGAAAGGAGACTGTCCACAGGAAATCGAAACAAAAACAGAACATGTAAATGGAGCATAGAGTCAAGAATCAAACACACAACCCAGCAGACATAAGGCCATAGTGCAACTGAGCTATTTGTCAGGATAATGCATTCAAAAGTTAGTCCTGTAATCTGTATCTTTAACGACTATCATAGTTACCCAGAAGACCTTGAGAATGCAATTCCATCACTGATTCTCAATACAAAATAGCAATTTATTAAAAATATATTTATTTAGAATGAAGTTTTGAGTTCTCGAACAAGCCCCCATGTTACAAAATAACAATCGCAAAATTGGAAACCACAGCCTCCCAAAGAAAAGGCTACATACAGGATGTCAAACACTTTTAGGGAGCGAGCGCGTTCCGCTGGTGCGGGGCGTGGAATCGGGTGACGGTCCTTATAAGCGCGAGCCGAAGGGGCGCAAGTAGAGAGAAGTAAGTGGAAGTTTTTTTTTGCGGGGTTAAAAATGCCGCTCGAAATCTACCTGGATCTGCTCTCCCAGCCATGCCGCTCTGTCTATATTTTCGCGAAGAAGAACAACATCCCGTTTGAATTTAAGAAGATCCTGCTGTTTAAAGGTACCGTTACAAGTTTTTGTGGCTCTACGTCACTTTGGGCTAGTATTTGGAAATTATTTGGGCTAAATAAGGGGTCACTTTGACGCGATGTATTGCTTTTGGGCAGACGCGTAAGGTGACGATGTGCAGCATTTAAGTGTTTTTTTTTCGATTGTACTTTGCTTGAATATTTTAAGTTGCTGCTGTTTAACATAACTGCATTCTTGAAACATACAACTACTTTTTACTCTGATACATTTTGCAAGACTGTCATAACCCAATTAAAATATATATTATTGTATGCAGCGCATCTGATCGAGTTGGGCTACTTGATTCAACTATCAGTTAAATCTGGCCCGTATGTCGAGTTTTCGTTTCCCAGAGCATATAAATTCGTTGCGTCAATCTGCGCCAGGTGTTCTGAGGAGTTGAGCTACCCATCGAGACGTACTATCGAGCCTTTTTGCGCATGTGCAGTTCCACCGTTTTGGTGTTAGGGTTAGGTTTTAGGGGTTTGGGTTAGTGTAAGGGTTTTAGGGTTTTTTGGGGGGTTAGGGTTAGGGTTAGGATTAGGGCAGGAGTTAGGGTTAGGGCTATCGACTAGCACTACGGTAGCCTAACTCGACAAAGTAGCGCAACTCGACAGAACACCGGCAAGCTCGGCAAGTTTTACCTCTTTTTCTAAGTAAAAATAAAAGATCTGCTTATCTTCTTGCCTCTCAGTTTTCCTTATTGTGATGCACTGTAATTTATAATACTATACTTAAATCTGTCTTGAATGAATTTAAAAGGATAGGATGCTTTGTGTAATATCTATAGATTTGGAATATATAGTAGTTTTTAAGAGGGTGTTTCAAGAAGTAACAGCAAATTGACAGTATTTCATGAAACAAACATCCAAGGCATTTCATACTCCATTTCAGGGCAGACAAGTTCTTAGAGAAGGTGTTGGCATTGCCCAGTAGATGGCATGACGTGCGTAATCGCAAGTGCACCATATAAAAATTCTGCGTCCTTAACTGAATGCGCCGTAGTACGGAAGCGTATTACTGCTAAGACATAATAAAAAAATATTCACACTATCACGTTATAACGTGAAAATATTACATTATAACGTGAAAACACACGATAAAACGAGAAAACGTATCACGCCATAACATGAAAATATAACGTTATAACGTGAAACCGTATCACGTTATAACATGAAAATATTACGTTATAACGAGAAAACCAATCCCGATAGAATTGAAAGTTAAATTGATCAGGGGCGGTGTTATGCCGAAAAAGGCATCCCTGCCGTAGAATGCATGTCTGTCTCGGGAGCTATGGAATCAGATTTGTGCCAATATTATCAAGCAAAAAAACTTTTTTGACATCAAGCAAAAATAAGGCTTCGAGAAGAAAAAAAACGAACTGAAGCAAAAGAAATGTCATCTCACAAGTAAAATTTATAATTTGCAAACAAATTCGTTTGCGCTTCCTGACTTTTTATTTACAATTCTGACACAAACTTCTCGCGTAGGCGGGTTTTTTCAGGGACGCGTCCCCATTGGCTAATAAGTTTTTGACTGACAGGTCAGTGCCACGGATATTTTTAATTAAGCTACACTATACATTTTATTGTGCTAAATTAGAAGTGAAGTTAATATCGATTAAAAAGTTCAAAACAGCAGACATGAACTTGCCAATAAAGCGCTTGTTACATTGTAAGTGTTTCAGATGCACGGTAACATTTCTTTTCACCAAAAAAAATAAATGTCAATCTTTTTAAAACGTTTGGGTGTCGTTCTAATCTATGGCTAAAATAGTGTGTGTGTGTGTGTGTGTGTTTTCATGTTATAACGTGATACGGTTTCACGTTATAACGTGATACGATTTCTCGTTTTAACGTGATGTTTTCACGTTATAATGTAATATTTTCACGTTATAACGTGATAGTGAGAATATTTTTTTTATTATGTCGTGGCATCAGATTTTTGTGGGGTGTAAAACCTCGTGAAATTCATTTAAGAATGTTGTTGGGCTGGTTTGGAGTGGCTTCACTGTATGTATTCATCTGTTGTTCATCAAATTAAAATAGTTAAAATTAAAAAATAAAGCTGTCTTCCAAAGAGGGGGGTGGTGGTTGGGCATTAAATAAAAAATATACACTGTATTTAAAAAATATAAGAATGTTGTAGAATTATGGAGATGCCTGTATTAGCAAGTGAAGAGTGTAGGAGTGGGTGGTGGCACACATCTGCAGTGAAGAAGAAGTTCAAGTCTCAACACTGCACCGGAAATGTTATGTCCAGGTCTTGTACAGGAGGTTGGCCCAAGCAACTAGAGGAGACACCTAATTGGTTGGCCCCGCCTCCTCTAGTTACTTGGACCCACCTCCTTTACAATCTAATTGGTTATCTCTCTGAAGCAATCATTGTTCCCTCTGCCCTCAGAACATTTTGTGTAAGTAATACTCCCATGAGCACCTGTGAAGCGTGCTGACTTCCAAACATATGTTGACATGCATCAATGCAGGTATCCAGTAACCTTAAGCTTAGTCGATTTAACAATACAGCTTTTTTATCTCCTGGACGTGGATATTTTATTTTTACATTTATTTATTTTTTCCAAGCTGTAAACTTTCCTTTTCACTGTGATTAGGGTTAACCTTGTATTTTCATTTCTCCATCAGGGGAACAATACAGTGAAGAATTCGGGAAGGTTAACTATTTCAGGAAAGTGCCCGCCATTAAAGATGGAGACTTTACTTTGTCAGAAAGGTGAGACTTGTGCATGACAAAATTAAGCCGTAGAACAAAATTTTTACAGTCTAAATGTTGCTTCTGACTGGGTAACAACACCGGACTTGCAGCATTGCCATCTTAACTTATCTGGCGGAAAAGTACGGGACCCCAGACCATTGGTACCCAGCAGACCTGCAGACCCGGGCTCGAGTTCATGAGTATCTGTCATGGCAGCACAGTGGAATGCGAGGAATTGCCGGCAAGATCTTATGGCTCAGGGTCGGTATTGGAAATTAATAGCATTGAGGCTGTATTTAAACAAATAAAATGTCATAAATTTGTACCTTTTAAGTCATTCCTTTTGCAATATACAAGAACAATTAAATATATTCTGTATTTTAGCTGATGATTCCCAAGGCATTTGAAATAGATGTTCCTAAGGAAAGGATGGATTCTCTATTGGTGGACCTGGAGGGATCACTCACAGCCTTCGAAGAAAAGTTCCTGCAGGACAAGCCTTTTATTGCTGGGCAGAAGATCTCACTGGCAGACTTGGTGGCCATTGTGGAAATCATGCAGGTGGGGCAAATTACACTGAATTTGTTTAAAATGAAATGTTATGAGATGCAACAGTGACACAGGTAATGTGTCCTGGATCCTGGGTTCAATCCCCATTGTACCACATTATTAATCTATTATTATCTATGGTGCAGGGCGTGCAAATGTGGTTTTAAAGGCAGTTTCGGAAATTTCAAGTCACATGGTTGGTATATGACTCTGTGAGTTAGGACTCTGTACCCTGTGATCAGAATGTCACTAGTTCAAGTCCCATGGCTGACAGAGTGGTTTCACCTTTGGGTCCATGAGCAAGGCTCCTAAGCCCTCACTGCTCCAGGGACTGCCTGACCCTGCCCTCTCACATTTGTCAGTTTGCATAAGTGGCTGCTAAATTAATACATGTAAATGTAATTTAAGAATACATCAAAGTTCTGTGTGAGAACAGACTGTTCGTTTCAACCCTCACTCTCTGAAACACTGACGCTGCTGTTTTTATGTGCCTTAGCCAGTAGGTGCAGGTGTGAACGTGTTCGAGGTCAGGCCGAAACTGAGTGCCTGGAAGGACCGAGTTCGGGCAGAGATCGGGTCGGCTCTGTTCGACGAAGCCCACCAGATGATCTTTAACACAGAGGAGGTGGCAAAGACCTTGGACCCCAGTATGAAGGAAATAATCAAGCTCAGGATCAAAAAGTCGTTCCTTTGAGTCCATTTCTAGGTTCTCGTTGTCAAGGTCAGCCCCGGTTGTCCCACTCCGTGTCCCTTCCCCGTTTGGCCAGCAGGCGGTGCTGGTCATCCCGTCCTTCATGTTAGTCTTTGTTCTCCCCAGTTACCTGTCTGGCCACATGGCTCAGTGCGTTGAGCATGTGTTTGTCTGTGATCCTTATCCTGTGTTTGAATCATGCCTCCTCTGTTTTTGTATTTGGCTCCCTAGTGTTTCATTTGAGTTTCTAGTTCTTGTGTCTGGTGATTTTGTATTTGGTTTTTGGTTTTGTTCCTTGTGCCCCTGCTTGTGTCTTTACCTGTCTGTAATTCCCCAGTGTTAGTTTCTGTTTCCTTGGTTAGTTCTTAGTTTCCCTGTTTTCAGTTCCTTTTGAGTTCATTAGTTTCACCTGTGCCCTGTTTCCCTGGTCTTTGTTAATTAGCCTCACCTGTCCTGTGTTAGTCTCGTTACCCCTTTAGTATTTTAGTCTCTGCTTCTGTTTAGTTCCCCAGTGGTTCATTGTCAGTTGATGGTAGAAGGTTTATTGTGAAGGTTCTGTTGTTTGTGCTTGAGTATTATTCCCTGTGTTAGATGTTACCTGCCCTGTTTTTGTAGTAGTCTTTGTTTACTTTTGACCCCCCGTGGTCCTTTGTTTTTGTTAGTCCTTTCTTGTGTTTTTAGTTCGGTTAAATAAACCCTGTTTGTTTTTCTTGGAGCTGCCAGTGGGTCGTCCACCTATTTTGTGCCTGTGTGATGCCACGTTCTCGCACCTGAGCCGCCAGGAACCATGACACTCGTACAGTCTGCTGTACTGCTTTATCTCTCACAACCAAATACCGTTTGTGTTTATGCATCAATATGCAATGGTGCTAAGACTTATGCCAAAATTTAATTTGATTACCTAATACTTTGTTTATATCAGAATCAGAATAGAGTTTATTGCCAAGTACGTTCACACATTCAAGGAATTTGCTTTGGTGGTTTGTGCTAGACATTGGGTGATAAAGGTGGGTTTATACACACACACACACACATAGGGGTATATACAGGTACTAATATAAATAGAAGAATGTGTATGACATAGAACTGAGATATATATATTTAAGAGAGTGCAAATTATAC